AAAATTACAGACCAATATCCCTCATGAACATTGACACAAAAATCCTCAAGAAAATTTTAGCCAATAGAATTCAGCAACATACCAAAAAAATAATTCATCATGATCAAGTGGGATTTCTACGAAGTATGCAGGAATGGTTCAACATTAGAAAAACAATCAATGGAATCCATCACGTAAATAAAACAAAAGAGCCACATGATCTTATCAATCAATGCAGAAAAGGCATTTGACAAAGTCCAACACCCATTCAGGATAAAAACTCTCAACAAAATAGGAAGAGAAGGGAAATTCCTCAATATAATTAAGGGCATTTATACAAAGTCAATAACCAGCATCATCCTAAATTGAGAGACTTTGAAAGCATTCCCCTTGAGAACTGGAACCAGACAAGGATGCCCTCTATCACCACTCTTATTCAACATTGTGCTGGAGGTCCTAGCCAGAGCAAACAGGCTAAAAAAGAAATAAAGGGTATCCAGATTGGTAGGGAAGAAGTCAAAGTATCTCTATTTGCAGATGATATGACCTTATACACAGAAAAGCCCAACGAATCCACAAGAAAACTACTTGAACTAATAGAAGATTTCAGCAAAGTTTCAGGATACAAGATGAACATACAAAAATCAGCTGGATTCCTTTACACCAACAAAGAGAGCCTCAAAGAGGAAATCACCAAATCAATACCATTTACAACAGATCCCTCAAGAAGATAAAATACTTAGGAATAAATCTAACCAGAGATGAAAAAGATCTACACAATGAAAACTACAAGACACTACTGCAAAAAACCAAGAGAGACCTGTATAAGTGGAAAACATACCTTATTCATGGATAGGAAGACTCAACACTGCGAAAATGTCAATTCTACCCAAAGCGATCTACAGATACAATGCAATCCCAACCCAAATTCCAGCAGCATTTTTTAATGAGATGGAGAAACAAATCACCAACTTCATATGAAAAGGGAAGAGGCCCAGAATAAGTAAAACATTACTTAAGAAGAACAAAGCGGGAGGCCTCACACTACCTGATTTTAGAACCTATTGTACCACCACGGTAGTCAAAATAGCCTGGTACTGGCACAACAGATACACAGACCAATGGAACAGAATTGAGAATCCAGACATAAATTCA